GTAGAAATGGCCAAGACATGGGACCTTTCAATCTGACAACTTTTTCTTCATACTCACACTTACTAAGCAATTGAATGTTTCTGGATGCCCGCTAGGGCTGTGCAATTAATCGTAATTTCATCTCAATTACAATTTTTCTTGCAACGATTACGAAAACCACGTAATCAAAATTAAACTATTATTTTGCTGCATTCCCTTTCGCAATGATGCTTTCAATTTGTCTTGTGTTATACATCCTGCCCGCGCGTGCGCTTTCGCCCCTCCCTAAAAGCCCTAGAGTCAAAAGTTGACTCTAGCGTACAGTCAACTTTTACTAACCACTATTTCCGGTTTCCGGATAAGGGGTTACCAAAATAAGAGCACTGCGGGTAGCAGTATAAATAAACATTACAGGTTGTTATTGACATTAGTTATCATATTTATATATGTTTAGTAGGTTGTGGAAGTGCGCTCCAAAATATTTGTTGATTTTTATTGGTATTTATTATTTTGTTATTAGTTATTTAAATGTAGATATAAATAAATAAAGGTTTTTCAGTTTAGTTATACCTAAAGTTCAGGGTAATCAACCGTTAAAAACATACTGTTCACATTTTTTTTTAAAAGTTAAATAAATGGATGTTTTCAAAGTCAATGAATAATCGTATTTAATAATCGTGATATCAATATTGGCCAAAATAATCGTGATTATGATTTTTGTCATAATCGAGCAGTCCTAATGCCCGCTATAAATATCTCTCACTATTTAGAATGTTTTCCCATTTAGGAAAGGACATATATATATATATATATATATATATATGTATATATATATATATATATATCACAGATGCCTCACAAAAATGTATGAAGTTGGCACTCACTGTCACTAGACGGCTGACAAGTAAACAGAGAGGTAAAGAGAGAGACAGGCAGACAGACGGAAATGCAATCCGAAACAGAGTGACAGGTTGACAGTTGAGACAGACAAACCAGACCAACAGGTAGGCAGACGGGTCAAAAAACCTAACTGACTCCTAAGTTTACAACACATGTTTGGACGTGCAACTCAGAAGACACCTTTTATTTCAAGTTTGACCTACAAACCTGAGGTTAAAAGTTTAATATTTCCATTTCCACTCTAGGTATTTTTATTGGACTCCTTGGAAAAGGCTCACAGAATGGAACCTAATACATTTTTATTAAATATAGGAGGAAGTTGTAGCCTAAATATGTAGTGCCTCAATTAAAAAACATTTTGAAAGCTTTTTATATTATTACTTTTGCTTTGCCATCCCTTATCCCTTTATGGATAATTTGTTCTGTTTACAGTACCCTCATGATATTTGTTGCAAACAGAGGCCTGCAGCCTGTAAAGTCCTCCTATAATCCATCTTTGGTCTGGTGAGCCGGTCAGCCAATGATACACCACCATTTTTCAGGGAAATGTTTCTACGGTTTCAATTAGGCTTTACTTTAAATAGCCCAGGGTTCTGTTGATCCCAGGCCTCACCTTTGGCTTCCCTGCAGGGCTTATCACCCTGGGATGTTAAAGCTGGACCCTTGAGATGTAAGCATATGTCAGCACATTAACCCCTAGACTGACTAAGCATGCTGGCCCACAAAAACAGCTGCTCCACTTCATGATACACTTGTTGGTTATAGTTTCAGAACTCAGCAAAAATGTGGCGTGGTCAAAGGCTATTTTTCTTCTGTTTAGCTTCACCTCCATAGTGACTCATCCTCTTTACGTTGTGACAACCATTACAGCATGTACCACTTAGAGGTCAAGGTGTGTTCATTCTCCTAACTGCAGTAATAGAGTTTCACCACAATTGTGACTTGGTGACATGGTCGCCTACTTTTTTTATCTTTACTTGTGTCTTACAAGTTCACATGTGCACTCCCATGTTACAGTTTAATGAAACTTTTTAGTAGAGAAAATCCTTAACTTAATAATTGTCTCAGTGTTTATGGCTTATTGGCTCAGCGGCGATGTCGTATAACATTGCATGTTCTAGCTCATTAAGTACAAATCTCATACACGTCACATTGGTGCGGGCTCTTTTCTAAAGCATAAGTGTTTGTTTGAATGATCTATTATTTTGCAGTGGAAAATAAAATGCCAATCCATCACTAGTTAACAATTGTGTAGTGTGTGTGTGTTTTGTAGATGCACATTATCAGATTTGAAAGTTGGAGGCAACGTTTTTCAAAAATGTTTCTTTCAGATTTCTTATCTTATAGATACATATATTTCCAGGTAATGATTTAAAACCTTTTTTAAATTGTATGAATTGCCCCCAGCATCAATGTCTGTGACACCAGAGTAGAACACCATATGTGAAGAATATTTGCTGTAAAGTCTCAAGCAGGATAGTGCTGAAAAGGATTTATGATTCATGATGGGCATTCTTAAGGCTGTTGTGTTTGAAGCTGGTTTGAAGTCCACCAGCTAAACGTCTTTCCTCATGGAAGTTTGAGCAAAAATCACTTTAATTAATCCAGATGCAATCACCTCACCGCTGGGTACAGCTGCCATACCCCCAAGTCCTCCTTTCTAGTCTTTCTAGTGCAACGACACTGTCCGGATAATTGCACTGTCAAGGTCAGAGATGCTTACATTTCAGTACACTATTGAAGTGGAAGAAATCAAATCAAAGGGCTCTCAGAGGGTCTAATCCTCACAATGGAATGGCTTTGATTGCGACCAGGAGCAATTAAGCATAGGTGCGTGTGTGTTTGGTCAATATATCAGTCACTGAGAGTCACTTTGGCACTTATGAGCACTTTGAAACTTGCTAGGTATTTTAATTCTTTGTGTAATGCCTCAGATTTTCCTATGTTTTATCACAAACAGATAAAGAGAAATGTAAACCACTAATGTTGAAAGGACATATTTCTTTTATTTCAGTGGCATTAAATGTTTACAATTGAATCCTCCTGAATTGAGAGTAGCAATTTTGATAAGGATTAAAGCTTTTGTGAGGCGCGACCATTATGTTTAATTTCTAATGCAGGTCATTGAAGTCTGCTGTTGTCCTTTTTGCACAACCTCCTGACTCCTGAATATAATAAACATGAAGTTCAGCCACATCTAGGCCGCCGGTGTGTGTGGCGCCTAATGAGGCTTGGAGAGTTTAGGTGGATGTTAATTTGTTTTGTTTTTGTTGTAAACTGTGTGTCTGTAAATAATGTGTAAATGACGAGCTGTCCTTGCATGCCAGCCGGACAGGCCACACACATGGACTGACACAATAAGGCACACACACACACACACACACACACACACACACACACACACACACTTGTTTGAAGCAAGCCCTTTTAGTGGTCCCAGTAATCGTGGTGCCAAGTTCTTTCTTTAGAATGCATTCATGGTTTGATCATTAGTTGCAAGACACATTTTGGGCATTCAAAAAACATCTACATTTTTATTTTTAATCTCATCAGCTGACAACATTTCAGGATAACAACTGAATTGTTGGTCGGATAGTAGGTTTGAGCATCTCTCATGTGCCCTTTTTCAATTTTGATGAATCACTTTAAGCGTAACTCGGACATTAAAGTCAATGCTGTCATGTTTAGTTTGACTTAAAAGGATGGTTCATTGTATTGCCTGTTTATTTTCTCACATTCAATTATTCAGAAGGTTTTGCAGTTTAACAGTTTTTCCAGTGTACATTGTGGTACTTTACTCTTCCGGGGGTGGGGTGGTCCAATCATTGTACACGGACAGGCCAGTCAAAGACGGCAACACACACAACTCTGTAAAGCTTCTCAAAGGCCCTAAAAATCCTAAAAATAGTGCTTTTACACACCCACATAAAGGCTCACATGCAAAGCATATGTAAACGTCCATATACACACAAACATATTCCAACACAGTACATTTACGCAGGCAGTAGCACATGTGCAGGCAGAAATGCACACACATTATACACACACTCTGAGGCCACACGGGCAGCCGTGCACCACCACTAATGCAAACATGGGATAATATTAGCTGTCTATAAAATGGCTGGTCATATTTTTAAAACACCAACACAGGTTCATGAACTGCTGCATAAAAGACTATTATAGTTGCAAGCCCAAGCTGCTCGGCTTCAAATAACCCTGGGATCTAACTTAAGACCTGGAGAGGTGCCTGCAGGGTATTTCTGGGTCCACATTTACAGGTGTTTATTCAGTGGCAGCGGTGCCAAGAGGTTAATAGGATACCCACTTTAAGAAGTTCAAATAGACTAAAGTCCATGTTGTTGCATTTGGGGTTATTTGACTCAAGGAAGTCCGTGAGGGAGGCTTCATAGATCAGAACAAGGCTTTTAAAGTCCCTTGAGGTGCCACTTCTATCGCAGCTATTTTAATTTACAAACGCCAAGCCATCAAATTGTGGTGAGATAAGCCGGTCGGGTCTTAGACTGTGGAATTATTAACAAAACCCAAAACATCCGAACTCTCATTGAGTTAAGCATCTTTTGTTCCATTATTCATAATAGAGCATTGCAGAAGATGCCAGATTTCTTCATATTTGCTCTAAAAATACTGTTGTAAAATATAATCAAGCACATAACATTTTGAGGTACTGTCTGTGCTGCAATGATGTTTAATCTCAATGAGACTTATCCTGGTAAAATAAAGGGAAAGAAAGAAAAGGGTAGTGCAACTCCACTACGTGCACTTTACCCTAGATTGGTGCAAATCTAGTGACCAAAAATGTAACTTTCTTTAGTTCCTTTACAAAATGTTTGGTCATGTTGCAAAGCATGTTTCTTTAGATGTCTGTTAAAATCTGTTCCTTTTTTGGACAAAGGGAGGTACAAGTATCAGTGTTGACGTTGATTTTGAATGAAAGTAATTTTTTTTTTTTTTAGTCAAGTGCTCTGTGCTATATTTGTCTCCACAGAACTTAAACAAAATGTTCCTCCCCTTCCTTCATCCTTTCTCAGTTGAACCTTCTCACTTTCCTGTGTAGTTTTATACTAACCTCCATTTTGTCTGCTCTTCTTCCTCTACAGGTTCATCTTCTCTGTTCATCTTGTATTGAAACTGATCCAGCCAAGCAAATTGTACAAAAGAGCTGACAAACACTTAACATGGCTGTGGCCGGATGTCCGGATTATTTCCTACATCATCCAAATTATCAGGTAAATGGAGCCTTCCTATGTAGGAAGAATGTATATGCTACTTTAACAGCTCAATTTGTAGAGATGAAATGTTGCCATTGTAGTCTAGACACCCTAGACTAAAGTTTGAAGCCAGGCGTTGATGTCAGTATCAAGTGTGAAGCCAGATTTGGATTAGAAATAGTGCCATTGTCTGCATAAATTGCATTGCATTGGATCGTGTCACTGCGTCGGATGTTGGACTTGTTTATCGCCAGGGCATGGCGAACATAACTCATAAATTAGACTTCTTGGAATTTTTTAGTTGGATGAGTTTATGAAATTGGACCTCTATGCCTCTACACACCAGACACTCTATTATTCAGCATGGGAAACTAATAATAAACCAGCCAAGAAGTACTCAAGGTTCTGTAGATTTGCTTCCAAGAATTCTAGGAAACGGTGGGGGTGGGTGTGAATCAGGTCACTGCGTTACTTTCCAACAGTCGGGCCTTGCCAAATCCTGCCTGTCCCGGTCTCTTTTGATGATGCTCTTATAGTCTATTTGGATTACTTGTTAGAGAGAGGGAAATAAAAGAATGGCCTTTGGTTACAGTTTGTCCTTTTAGTCTAGTCAAGACTAAAGAGAGAGTTGGTGAATGGCAGTGATATGGTCATAACATTCCACCACTGTGAACACATAGAGTTCACAAAGAGTTGCAGGGGGACGGGCTATAAAAGAGTGTTGGTCCAACAGAGGTACAAAAGCATCTTGTGGCTGACAAGCCCCCAGGTAACAGCTGTTCTCTTTTTCTATGGTTGGCCCATGTGCTTGTACCCATACAAACAGAGACACATACACTAGGGTCTTTTGTACTCGAGGGTATTTAATGTGTTCTCGCAGTGGAAATCATATTTCATGTTCCTTGAGTGCGTTTTCAAAAGCTCTTATTATATTGTAGTGGAAAATGAGCAATGAATACAAAAACATGCATAGAAAGGCCAACAGTTTTATATTTCTATCCTGGGTTTGTGTTGATTGACTGTAGCTCACATGATTGAAAAAGCAAAGCAATTACAGGAACCCAACTTCAACCAAATATAATGACAAGGCAATCATGATAATCAACAGCATTTGTTATGAATATTTGTTAGCTTCACAGTGATCGAGAGAGAAAAAGCAGGACAAGGATGGGCTGAGCAAATCAATGCAGATTTACAATTGAAAAGGATGCTACACATTTTTATAAAGCAAATAAACAAATCAAGCAATGTTGATCCTTGGTCCTGTCACAAATGAATTGACCATGGGACTATTGTCCAGGCATGTGAATTGGGAGTTGTGCTAATTTGTTATCTTAAAAACAGAACTTTTGCATTCATTAGGAAGATATGCTTGAACATGACCAAATGTTGGCTCATTGTCAGAAATAAGTCCTCTGGGACCAAATTCTATCCCTTCAGCCTCACTAGCTGAACTTGAGGTGCAGATTGTTTTTTGTCATTTAATCAAATCTTTTCTTAGGTTGAATTTTCACCAACAATGTTAGGGCAGTCTAAACAGTTTTAATCCTGATGTGCTGATGTATTACTTAGCAAGGGTGCACTCAACTGGAATATTGGTTTTAATTTAGGGTCAGGGGTAGGATTTGCACGGAAGCCTCCGTAGAGCAAAGGGCTTCCAAACATTTGTATTAGGGCAGTAGCACTATTAGCCTAATCAAGCTATTCTGTTGTCTGCAGGTCATCTGGGCAACAGCTTTATATATGACCTTTGACCTCAGAGCTAGAGGACAGAGAGTTCAGTCTGCTACACTCTCTCGTATCTCCAAAGCTTAGAGAGACAGAAACCAAAAATCCATATAAGTCAGGTACCTAACCCAACAAAAATAAAACTACAGGGGACAAGTTCTGAGTTGAAGCTGAAGTTATACTCCCTGTGATGAATCATCACACATATAGTATCCAAAAAAAGAGAATTGTAAATATACTGTATGTAAGCTAATGTGCTAATGTCACCAATCTCTCAAACACACCAAGCTCTCACCATGTGTTGTATTTTGTTGATACTACTATATTTAGCAGACATAGACTATTCCACTATTAGACACTGCCTTAAAAGCCATACAATGTGATTGCAGTGAAGAATCATTTAGTTCTTACATGTTTTTGAATTTAGCAACTGAGGCTATAGTCAGTGTGCAATGTACATACTCTAGTTTGCACACACACACACACACACACACACACTGAATGATAGCTGTTAAAAGAACTAAACTTCCATAAATACATGCTATGCTGTATATACATGTAAAACCAATCTGGGCCCTCATGTATAGTAAAACTTGAGTCGATTAGACAGTAAAATGCTGTGTAAGCAGAGCTCAAGGAATCTCTGTTTACCTATAAAATAATTGTCATGGATAGTTGTATGCCCTCTAGTGTACTAGCCACACAATTCCATTTGTTTTGCTTAAGCTTTTGCAATTTTTATATTTCACTGCTCTGTTTGTGGGTAATTTGATTTCAGTCGTGTGTAAATGTAGATTTGGTCTTGAGGCTTTGGTTATTGAGTTGACTTTGCAGCTTTTACTCAGTCCGTCAACAGATTTTAATGTAATGCATTATGATTCTAGTATTAAATCATTTTTAGGCAAATGAATGTCTCAATTTCTTGCTGGCTGCAGTGGCAAGGCAGGATCACCAGATTAAGAATGATATATTCCACAGGGATGATTTGATACACACTGGTAGATGCTTCCATGTTTAATGTTTATTAATCTAGGGATGAGGGATGCTTTACTGGATATTTTTTTATTAAAAGAAAATATGATTATTTGTATCCGCCAATGTTATGTAAATAAATGTCAAAGCCCAGCTTGTCAGCAGCTCAGCTGTGCTGTGAAAGCAGCTGAGTCCCACTGTATAAACAAACAGATAAACGAAGCACTAGAGCAGACATTAGTGTGACCTCCTGATCCCATTCTGGTTAATTATGTAAGAAGGGATTTCCACTTGCTGTCTAGTATTCATGAAGGTGTTACCAGGACTGTATACAGAAAGCACTATTAATGTCAGCAAAAAATGTCTGCTAGAAGGTTGAGTAAGATTTCCTGAAAGTTAGTTCTGGGTTAAGCGAACCATAATGGACATTTCATGCCATTTTTTAAATGTTCTTATGAATCCAGTCCACTCTCAGCTGGTCTTTCTTAGCTAAAAGGCCATCTGTAAGATCTATATTCAATAGCCGGTCATTACATTTAACCTCAGTCTGACCTCTTTTAAAGGCGTAGCTTGACATGCGTCTCAGTCTTTTCCTTTTTGTTTGAGCCCCGATCTCTGGACTTTTGTGTCGGTGTTGCTTTCAGTGACTTAACCTTTTCTCTGGCCCTCCACTGACCCCTTTTTAAAAGCTAAACCCTCGACCCCTAATTTGAAGTTCCTTTCAACTTCATCAATATGAAATGGCCCTTATATGCTACTTGTCAAAACTTGGCCTACCCTCAGTCCTATTTTGACCCCTCTCTAAGAACGTAAGCAACGTGTGTGTGTGTGTGTGTGTGTGTGTGTGTGTGTGTGTGTGTGTGTGTGTGCTTATGTCTAAGATAATAAGTGTATGAGAAAAAAAAGAGTAAAAACAAGTATAAAAGATGAAGCCCATCTGGGTTTTTCATTCAGCACACAATAAAAGAAGAAATGTTGAATTTTTTTTCCCTCAGTCTTTGTTGTCTCAACATTATAAGCTTTAGTAAACCCTTAGCCAAACGCAAACGCAGAGTTAGCCAATGGCATGGCTGAGAATTATGCTAAATGGTCGGTATTTATAGGATTAAACCCCCAAGTTAAAGTTTTGTCAATTGTCCATAGTGGCATCAAAGGCTGTCTGGGAGTTGGGACTTTTGTCGGTAAGATCCACAAAAGAGATCAAGTTGTGCTTTAAAGATCCTTTAGTTCTTTAGTGCATGTGTGTTAACTCATTTACTCCCAGACATGCAAAATAGCTTCAAGACCGGTATATGGTCTGAAAGAATCCCTACGTTTTTGCTCAGTGGAGCTGAACCATGACCATCCTGTCCTGAACACACACACACACACACACACACACACACACACACACACACACACACACACACACACACACACACACACACACACACACACACACACACACACACACACACACACACACACACACACACACACACACACACACACACACACACACACACACACACACACACACACACACACACACACACACACACACACACACACACACACACTAACGGCGTACCATCCCTCCACCAAACAGTGTCCCAGTGCTGTTTGGGTGGCTGGGTATGGATCAGTCACAGTCTGGTAGCTGGACCCCCACACAGTATTTGTTGATGATGGGGTTTGCTATTTAATGGGAATACATCGGGTGATGCGGTGGTTATTTTACCTCCCTTTTTTTATTTCAAAAGAAGGTTAGTCCCATTGCGCACGTCTGGAATGCAAGACAATACAAAGACGGAACAATGCAATGTAATGATTGGATGCGGTTTGGTTAGTTGGTATAGCAGAAGGGTTGGGGGGGGTGTTGGTGGACAGAACCATATGCTGACTTTGACTTTCCAGTTATATCCATTTTAGTGTGGACGTAGGCGACAGTGTATGCAGCAGAGAGGAACACTTATAACTTTTTCTTTACTGGCAAATCATGGATTCTTTATTTTGTAGATTATTTTATTTGAAGAATTTAGTCATCAAAGTGGAATTCTACCTCAAGATTTACTCTCACAGTGAGTGAAATCCCTACAAAATGCTCAATAAATCTTGTTTGTAAAGGTCATTTCCATGTTGTTACAGATGATTTAGAAAAAGTGTTTTAAATGAGCACTATAACGTTGTTTTTGTGGACAAATTTGAGCTTGAAATTCTTTAAGCAGCCTGTAAAGGGGAACACATCTAACAAAATGTATCTAAAACCTTTGAAATTCAATTAAAAGTACCTGTGCTTTAGGTTTTTTTTATAGTTTACAATACTCTGTGGGATTTTCTTACAGTGATTGGAAATATGATATGATAATGTGACTAAGAAAGGTCAAACGAGGACATTGTCTTTAAATGGTATCTTAAATTGTGCTCTGATACACACCTGGCACTGTTTTACACTGTTGGTGGGATGTAGTAGTGTTTTCAAACGGGCACTGTATAAAGAGTATCTTTCTCCTAACCTTTTTGTATTTTTCTGTATTTGATAAAAAAATATATATGTATCTTGTAGCATTATCTCCAAATTGCGAAAAAAGGTATGTAGAAATAATTTAAAAAAAGGTATGATTGGTTAATTAAAAATATAAACATTTGAAGGCAAATACTTCACATTAGATTCAACAAATACTGCAAGCACAGCTGCCTCTCTTTTATGAACACATGTAAAACTGCAATGACCTCAGCGGCTATAAGCACTTAGAAAACTCTATACTTGTATTTGTTTTGTCTGCATTTAAAATAGTCACGCATACAATTCTTCAATATGTGACCAGTCATCCTGATGTATAGCTTACCGTGCTAAAATGCCATTCCATGGAGTTGTTCTTTGTGTTTACCATGTTGATTGCAATATTTTATTTTGAAATATGACATGTTTTCTTTCTTGCTTCTCTCTCCCACAGCAGGACAATATAGACCGGTCCTCCAATCACCGACAAGCTGACCTCATTGGTCCGAGCTTCCAGCAATCAGCCAATCGGAGTTCCCCTAACCATCAAGGTTGGTACACCACCTTCCATCAAAAGAAGTGTGTGTGTGTGTCTGTGTGTCTGTGTGTGTGTGTGTGTGTGTGTGTGTGTGTGTGTGTGTGTGTGTGTGTGTGTGTGTGAGAGAGAGAGAGTGTGCCTGTCTGCGTGTGTGTGTGTGTGTGTGTGTGTGTGTGTGTGTGTGTGTGTGTGTGTGTGTGTGTGTGTGTGTGTGTGTGTGTGTGTGTGTGTGTGTGTGTGTGTATGGCCTAGCATTACTATACTTGTGGGGATCTAAATCTGTTTACACAGTCACGTGTGAGGACTGGCTTCCCTTATGGGGACAAATTGGAGGTCCCCATGAGGGGAATCATTAATTTTAGGGTGAAGACTTGGTTAGGATTAGGGTTAGGGTAAGGTTAAGGTTAAGGGTTAGGGTTAAGGTTAAGGTTAAGGGTTAGGGTTAGGCATGTGTTGGTTATGGTTAAGGTTAGGATAAGTCTCCAGGAAATGCATGTAAGTCAATGTAATGTCCCCTGAAGTGATCAATCAATCAATCAATGTTTATTTATATAGCCCAATATCACAAATGTTACATTTGTTTCAGTGGACTTCACAGTTTGTACAGAATATCAGTATGACAATACGACACCCTCTGTCCATAGACCCTCACATCGTACAAGGAAAAACTTCCAGAGAAAACCCACAGTTTAAAGGGAAAAATGGGAGAANAACATTTTAGAAGAAGAGCCGGATGTTTCGGGAAATTACCCGTCCGCGTAGTAGATGGAATTTCCTTGAGTAATATGGGATAACAGGATGATCCCCGTACGCCAGGTTCTTACGTCCCAACAACCAACAAAGGATCTCAGAGATTTTCACGTTACCCTCGGTCTCGGAAAGAATAAGTTCGAGGTGAAAACACCTTAGTCGAAGGTCAAACACAAGCCTGCCGTCTGTGGGATAGGCAAAAATTCTCACGCGAATTCCTTGGAAGGAAAATCTATTTCGAATATCAATCCCTGACTAATCTAAAGTCGGGGATCAAAAAACGAGGCTATATCCGAATCAAACAGCCCCCTGTAGAATGAAAAGGAAGAGAGACAAGGATATGGACACATGAGAGTACAGAGGGGCCTAATTGGGTCGAAGGGTTTAAAGAAAGAAAAACCAACAAGATATATGCGGTCCTAGGCGCCTCAGTACCTACTAGGACGACCAGGACACAGTACCTTACGCTCAGGACCCTAGAACTCAGCACCGACACAAGGACCTAGTATTAGGACCTACCTATACTGAGCACCTAAGTAGCGCAAGGATAGACACTAATTGGTGCTAGTACGTAAAGGCGCTCTGTTAAACCGAATGGATACAACGTTTACAAATAGAAAAGTTAAAGTGTGCCGTAGATAACCGTGCAAGAGCAGGCAGGACCCTTTCCCTAAGGGAGGAGACAACGAGAGGGACTGCCAAGAGGAGAGGGAAAATTTGACACCCAAAAGAGCCCTTCAAAAAGGACATGCTACACTCCAGATACCTGTCTCACACAGCATAACAGTAATGACATAAGACATGTTTGACACTTCCAAGGTGACTTTGTTTAATTGTAACACTATAACCCGTGTTCTATAGGGAGCCAGTGTAAGGCAGCCAGAACAGGAGTAATGTGGTCCCTTTTCCTAACTCTGGTTAGTACACGAGCTGCAGCATTTTGAATCAGCTGAAGCGACTTGACTGACTTCTTGGTACACCCTGATGTATACATGGTGTGTGTGTGTGTGTGTGTGTGTGTGTGTGTGTGTGTGTGTGTGTGTGTGTGTGTGTGTGTGTGTGTGTGTGTGTGTGTGCGTGCGCGCGCGTGTGGGGGGGATTGGGTGGTTGGGTGTGTGTATGCTGATGTTTGCACATTAAACCCATCCATTATTCTTGAGTTACATTGGTGTTGTATGACACAGAAAAACATACTTGGTAATGCGCTGACATCAAATTTCATAGATTTTACACAATAGGACTTGTCATATGATATTTCATTCTTCTGGGACTTACTGTACATTGACTTGGTGCAACAAAAGCTGTGTAGTCTCCATTTCTTTTCATATATAAAGACTACAAAGGTCATCGAAATTACCTGGGATTGTTGTAGTAGTACTATGGGTTTGTGTGTGTTTCAGTACAGTGTGGACAGCAGCTTGCTCCTCATTATCTTCCACTGGGCCGGGGGGGGGGACAAGGGGGATAATATATATTTGGGTCTCTTCCGCTGTAAACATTTCAGCAGTTCAAAGGATGATCTGCATAGACACAGGGTGCCATTATAATTACGCCGTCTATCTAATTGTACCATACAGGGTTCATCCATGACAATCGGAGCATGAGATTTAAGCACAATATTGGCTCAGCATGGGAGGTAAGGGCGGGGAGTCTGCAAGGTTCCAACCAGTGAATTAGAACGCTTGGCACTGGCATGGGAAATAAATGGAGCAGAAATGACATTGTAATTTTTCAGGATCAGCCGGGATGGAGGGAACTCAAGAGGACCAGAGAGACAGACGAAATAATTTAACCAAGACATTTAGTTTACACTGTCTGAATGATAATTTTTTTAGAGGGACATATGTTTTATTTTTGTTTATTTCAATAGTTTGTTAGTAGTCAGGAGCTTGATTCATTTGTGCAGACCACTTAGATTTCTGTCAGATCTCCTTTCCTGTATTGTTCTTTTTTTTATTTATGAAAAAGGTGTCAAATAAGCTACAACTTTTAAGTCTTTTTACCATTTGAGCCTGTTCACAAGCTGTGTTACATATCATCCTCATGGTCTGTATTATTTGTGCAGACATTTTTAATTTAGCCTAGTTCCTGTCGTGTTATTAGTAGTATTGTAATCTTTGCTGACATTATTCAATTCAAACCACTAAACTATGTGTTAATTATTAGAAGGCTATTAGAGCTCCCATAAGCTAGAACAGTCATAAACCAATTCATTTTTGGAGGGAATAGTATGTTTTCTTTTGGGAACATGTCTTCCATTATTTGACATGCTTGTAATGAGATGCTATTGCACAAGTGGCTTTTGTAGCATTTGTAAACCAACATTTGATGTAGACAAATATAAGTTTCTCTTGCCAACAATGAATCTATTAATTATATTTTACTTTGGAGCTTATTATTATAAATGTTATTGTTATAAGTTGTTCTAATACAAGTTGAATATATTTTGCCCAAATTCAGTATTCTTTAAATAAATAGAAGAATGACAAAACCACATTTTCCCGGGTCGTGGTGTGACACACACGGCAGTCCTTTCCAGTTACTCACAGATGTGATGTCTCAGGCTTGTACTGTGCAAACGCTGTCTCCTCTCCTCTCTTGTTTTCCTCTTTGCACACGCCAAAGTGACTTCAGTCGTATAGCCAAGTCCATTGTCTATAGGATTATATAACTCGCTCTCTGCCAAAGGCCAATACAATATGAAAATACAAAAAAAATACTTCAAGGAGTACATTTAATAATCACCAACCATCATTGAGTCAACAGTTGGCCCATCCATCTGTTTTCTTATAAGATATGAGAGAAAAAAGACAGCAAGTGTTAAGATTACATATTTTTTCAGAATAAGCAAGACAGTTGGCAGTTAGGAACCTGCTCTTTTCTTAGTTCAGGACATCGTGTGCCCTGGCATGACATGAAGTCTGGAAAAGGACAGAAAAAGACAAGAGAACAAATTAGAAACTGGGAAAAGTTGAGTTGCTCAAATCAAATGTGATCTACTGCTTTTACTTTAGTTATGACGTAACTAGGCATTCGAGTGGCCTGGGGTCCATCATGATTTTAGTTTAGTGGCATACAATTTTGAGACATACGTGGAGGTTATTAAGTATTTTTTTTTATTTGCCAATATCTCAGAATGTTATGTACTAGCTAAATATGTCTGAGGCAAGGCAGTTCAATCCTGTTCCACGCTGTAGCAGACCTGCTGATTTTGTGTAATTTTTTGTGAGTATGTCTACGTGCAGGACCGTGACATTCTCACCCCTCATAATGCCTATGATATCGTTTGATGCTTCAAAGTTTTATATCTGGTTATGACTTCCATAGTTCAGTTATGGCCCAAAATGTTGACTTTTACAGTCAATGATTAAACTCATTATTTAAATAGTATGAACAACATGTTGGAAATGTATTACAATTAAGTGTTGAAACTTGAATTTGGATCATTTACCTGAGAATACAAGCTAAAATACGTCATGTTTGGATCATTTACCTGACAATACTAGCTAAAGGACGTGTTTCTGTTTTACCGTTTAAACCACTTCGCTTGGCACAAGAGGGTGGAGTGGGTGTTCAGTTTATTTTCCCCTCTTCTGAATCTTAAGGGGTTTAAATACAGTGCGTGCGTGCCTGCCTGCATGCTGCCTGTGTCATCAATCTGTCAGCCTTACCGCCGGGTGAATGACGCAGGCCTTTGTTTGCCTGATTGTGACATACACAGGTGATTATGATCGTATGACTGATAATGACGCAGCATTCCCACAACCATGAGTGAGTTTAAGGGTTTTTTCTTTGGAAGAAAACAGCTAAGCCAATTCCCATCCAGATGCCAAACTAGGCCATATTTCGGAGGAAACCTATTTTCTCTCTCTAGCCTGGGGTTACATGTCTCACCTTGTGTGATTGATGGATGATGAGTACATGTTTTGTTCGACTTTTGCTTTTGATTTGCTTTTATCTAGCATAACCAGATAAGTGTTTGTTTGATTTTGTTGTTACATTTGTATTTATTCTTTTGTTTAGGTTATGTGTCTCTGTTCTCTGTTACAAGTGTCTTGCCCTGTCTGTTCTTAACTTGTGTATGGCCACGTATGAACCCTGTGTTCTGTGGTACATAGCTCTTTAGCTCCGCAGGCTAACTATAAGTAGCTGCTCCAGCTTACATGTCACTATTAATACCGGCAGATTAACCACCTATGATTTACAGCCACCTGTGATACAGCTAAAAGACGCGTTTTCAGGAAATCAAATCAAATCAAGTTTTATTTATATAGCACATTTCTAAACGATTTTTGGTCGAGCCAAAGTGCTGTACATATAATAAAAATAGCCTACAGTAGAGACACTTTACAGCTAATACAACAGCAAAAATTGTTCAGAATATCAGTATGAGAAAAAACGACACCCTCTATCCTTAGGAAAAGCTTGGCAAAGGCGACACTTTAGGTTCTTAAGTATAGCTTTCAGCCTCAGTGCTGAAGACAAGCTCACCTGTGTCTCCTCATGTTGTTTGTGCCTCTGGAACAAGTAGTTCCATAGGAAACTGATTCCATCCCAGGCTTAAGGGCTCCCTTTGAAGCCAGTGCTTTAAAACTTTATGTCAATCAAATAGTTTTTTCCCAACGTCAGCTTTCCGCTGAGCAGTGGGAATTTTAGAGTGGCATGACCCTCACAGCACCTTGCAGGATCCAGCTGTCAGCTGTCCTGCACTCTGAGCTGTGGGACAATTTCATGAGTCACAAAGTGCAGGGCACATTTTAAGCCTTGTAGTTCTGGACAGAAGGACTGCATGGTAAAAGTTCAATTGAACATCCAACAAATGTGCTTTTTTTTTTTTAAACACGCTTTCAAAGTGTGTTTGCTTTGAACCTAAAAATGCACAGATAATGAAAAAGCACCAAATCAATTATTTCCTAACTGTATTCATGGGCTGCTCAGAGGATGAAATGAGAAATAGCCGGTTTGAATTTAGAAAAATAAATAAATGTGAAATAGTTGATTGTTTATCTGTCAAAGAGTTTTACTTTTGGAATAGCTGTAACAATGAATACAAAAAGTCTAGTTCACTTAGTAAAAGGTTTAATAATTAGACTTTTCTTCATCAAATTAAGCATAGCTCAATAATCTTTACTCGTCACTTACATTTAAATCCCTTTTGTCATCTTTTCACATCTGTTTCTTATGAATGGTTTTGAATCTGGCTCTGGACCTTTTTCTGCATGTCAACCCCTCTGTCTCCCAATTTCAACTCTGTCTCCACAATAAGAGCGCTGGTTGCCCCAAAAAATATTAAAGAAATTAAATAATGTTCATTAAAAGAAATCTGATCAGATGGTTCTCTTACCATTACTGCAAATAGCAATGCAACTTATTCTCTGTCTATTATTTGGTTACAATGTAATGCATTTCATTTAAATCTGCCTGTAACACTAATTAATATGTGAGACCATGTCAGTTTGAGAGCCCCTACAGTACACTTTACAATTAGAGCCTGTCCCCCCCTAGTGGTTTACTTGTGTCCTACAGTACAGTTGGCAGGATCTGGATGATCAGAGATTTGATGATTCATTCATAATGGAGAATTATATATCATAGGACGAGTCAACACTGGAGATTGTAATTTAGAAAGAGCAAAGTTATGCACCCAGTTTACCCGGATTATAAAACTTTCATAGCATAGAGCAATTAGAAGGAGATCTTCCCTTCAATTTTGCTCACTTCAAACTTCGATACAACATGCTCCCTTCGGTGGAAGAATTCTCTTCATGAATTTAAATGAGCCTAGAGGTTTTCACAGGGGCTTTGAGGATAGATTCCACCTCTGAAAATAATCCAGTTTTTTAAGACCTTTTAAAAGCACAATATTTAAAACATGCTGTGAAGTCGAAGCAGATGCTTACTGTGCCTTCGCTGTGAACCCCAGCGGTGAGAGTTGAAAAGTGTTAGGGGCAGGTTGGAGCTTGTTCCTGTTATCCCTGGAGATTTGGCTCACAGAGGAGCACAATGTTCGTAGTCAAGATACTTCTTCTGATTGGGTGTGTGTGTGTGTGTGAGCTCTTGTGTTCTGTGCCTGTCAGTTTTTTCTTTTTCTTTTCAGTATTACTCAGAATCAAGGTAGTGCAACAAAGTAAGGTCAAGGGTTGGAATCCGGCCACAATGAAATGATAGAGAAACTAAAATAGAAAGGGAAAGTCCCAACAATATCCAGGGACTTTCTTAGTTTTAGTGTGTGCCTCAACTATTTGAAACCAAAACAGAAAGCTTAGAGGAATTTCATTTTTCCTTTTTTATTATGTTTTATTGCCTTTCGGTTTTGATTTTCTGCCAAGCTTTAGTGTTGTGTATTCTGCTCCACTATGTCCTTACTTTTAACATTATTTACTAATGTGTTCCCTTTCTATATATCTCCTCCAGACGATGATGTCGATTTGGAGGCCCTGGTGAATGATATGAACTCTTCGCTGGAGAGCCTGTACTCCACCTGCAGTGGTCAGCAGACAGAGTCAACCCCACTACTGCACAATGGACAGACCTCTTCCTCACACCAACAGCACCATCACAATCACGTGCAACACAACCAGCCTCGGCAGGGTCAACACTCACTTGCTCTAAGCCACATCTCCCCAGAGCCGCCCTCCTCTTCTTCGTCGTCTGCAGACTCCCCACAATCCAGCCTCAGGCGGTCACAACCCATGCACATCCTCGCTGTCAGGTACGTGCTTCTGGAGTAAACGCAGGTATACATTTTCTTAATATTTATTTGCCCACTTTTACAGCTAATAGTTGGATTGGTTGCCTAGCAGGCACCAGACTACTTTGATGAACAGATCTAAATTTGAATGCAAGAAAATGTACGTACATTCTTTTTGTCTGCAGAACGGCATAGTGAGTGTCCTTCAAAGCACCATAGCTAAAAACCAGCATCATAGAATAATAAGGTGCTTCCACATGAATGTTGGTATGACACGAACAGGGTCTGTCAATCAGGTTTTGAAAGACAAAGTGCTCTTGAGCAAGACATACATTTTCCTTGCATCCAACGGTTTCATACCTAAACTTGTGTTGCTTTTGATGCAACAGAAACACTTGTGATAATAAGTGCAAAAATGTTTTGTCCTTGAAACTTGACAAAAAAGTGTAACGCGATTTTTAGCTAAGTTTTTATTTCATGTAAAGCAGCCAATAAACAATTTATCAAACTAAATGAATTGGTTATTCATATGGAACCAATCAATTAATTATAATAAACATATTAAATAATAAATAATATTAAATTGGCTCAGCCTTTGTTGAATGTATTTTTTCATAAATCTTTCCTCAGGAAAGTGTTTGCTCTCCTCAGGTGTTTCACAGTGACATCAAACGCATCTCAGGCGCCATTAGAATTAAAGACGCTTGGAGCTAACCATGCACATATACCAGCAGTTAAAAATGTAATTAAGACTTCAAACATGCACTCAGAAGTATGGCACCAAACTTAAAGCTAACTCCTTCCAGCTTCATACATCCTCTCACTCCACACTATCATTCCTCTCCACCTTCCCAATAATTGGGCATAACGTTTCCTCCCCGCTCCAAGTCTGTAGCCTTTGAATGACCCGTTCCTCCTTGTCACTCCCTCTTTGTCTCAAACTACACCAGTAGGAGGAGAAAGGTAAAAAATCTCATTTATTTGAGTATCAAGTACAAATGTCTCTCTCAATTTGAAGAATACTAACCCATTTTCTCCCTAAGGCTGTTATTGTATGCGTTGAAAAGTAGGATTGCTCACTCACACTCACACACTAAGTCCCCATAAGTATGGATGGATGCATGCGTTTAGTGCACACAAACACAAAGGCATCCACAGCAGAGCTGGTGTCAGCTCCTATTATTCGCCTTTGGAGTATATGAGAGGAACAGAGGAGGGCTGATCAGGTAATGGTGTCTTCTGTCTTATGAGCTCTCTCTCTCTTTCAAACACACACACACTCAGGCTCTGAAGTTCTTATTATTCAGGGCTGACCTCCGAATAACCCTGTTCTCAAGCTCAGATGGGACAACATCAAAAGGCCCGTTCCCTTTTGAACTCGCTGCTTTCTACAGAGAGACAGTTTGACGGAGAAAGAGACTAAGAGAAAAGCGTCTTCCACAGTGATTCTCTGAGCTAGCTGTCTAGATAGAATTTTACAAACTTGCTTGAGTGAATCCTTAAAAAGTTAGGGTTGGATCAGCTGTCAAAGTTAGATCAGCTGTCAAATCCTCCTTCCTCTCCCAGGCTGTGAGCTTTACTGTACTGTATGTGCCTAATTTAAAAACTGATTTAAAGTGATGTCGTGATTTAATATTGATGTGTGATGAATATTGCAGGAAATTAGCAGGCACACTGCGGGGGTCAGTGATTTCCACTTGCTGGGAGACAGTCATTATGGGTAGATCAGATGGAAACAGACATGAGCCTGGATACTGCACAGCAAAGCTTTATTTATTCCGGCGCTCTCTTGCGCACATATTTCACATGTGTCAGCGGCTCTCATTTCAAAGTTCTCCCATCTCACTTTTCGGGAGGGCTGTTTTAGGTCACAACCCTAAACTTCCGTTCATCGTTTTATTAGTGAACACACGCTAATGCTAAAAGTATGTTTGAACACGGTATCAACGTCCCTCTGTGTTGTGTCCATCAGGAGGTTGCAGGAACAGGAGCAGCAGCTGAGGACGTCCTCTCTCCCTGCCATCCCGAACCCCTTCCCCGAGCTCTGCAGTCCAACCAGCTCCCCAGAACTCAGCCCCGGCTCTCTACCTCCAGGAGAACCCTCCATTGGCATATATGTAAGTCCAACCCCACTAAAACACGCTGTAGAAACTTTTCAGAAACTTTCCAGGAATTAATTAAGGTTTAATTTTCCCAGCAGGCCTCTTTTGGGTTTCATATTTTACAAGGCGTTATAATATGGTGTGGTTGAACTTGATACTAGACACTGTTTTCATACAATATGGGAGACCATGTCAGAATAACAGGATGTGAGACATTAGCGGATTTGCTTATATAACTGAGACTGGTGATTCAAGATATTTGTTTTGAACTATGCTGTATTTGAATAATGTAAATCAGCTGTGTTTATTAGTCAAGTGTGTTGGACTAAGCGTTTAGGAATGTTCCACGCTCTACATCTGCCCCATGTTTTGCTCATCCGAAGCATGCTGATTGCTTGCATGTGATAGCGTGGTGCTGCTGTGTGTGTGTGTGTGTGTGTGTGTGTGTGTGTGTGTGTGTGTGTGTGTGTGTGTGTGTGTGTGTGTGTGTGTGTGTGTGTGTGTGTCAGTGTGTGTGTGTCAGTGTGTGTGTGTCAGTGTGTACCTGCACACATGGCTGCATTTCTGTGAGCCTGTTTGCATTTGTGAGTTCATGTGTTGATAAAGATTTAGAGACTGGTCTGTCTATTCCTGGAAGTCGGAGTCCCCCATCGTCACTGCTAATGATCTTCACATGGGGCCAGCCTATGCTGCTTACAGTAACATACCATGTTACGGTAATGTGAGGGCGGACTACTTCTCATAAATACTCTCCCTGACTGTGATCCTGGCCTGTTCTGGTCATGGCTGTTATGGTGCGAGATCAGAAAGCAGTTCCAGTTAAGTCTGACTTTAATACGACTTACTAAGTCAGCACATAAATGACAAGATGAAGAGATAAATCCCTCGCATCCAGTAAATGCTTTAAGAGATGGGAAGTTGTGGCTCTGAATTACCAGAGTATTTCAAGATTAGAAATAACTTAAGTCTTCATGAGCTAAGGTATTTATTTCTCTGTGGGAATGTCACAGGCTTGAATCACAAGCTGTGGCACACATTCAACACTGGATGGTAAATCTCAGTTCATACGATGAAAAGGTCAAAGATGAATACCTTACTAAAGGGTTATGAGTTCTGCACTGAATTATTAGCTGTTACATAACTTTGACTCTATATAAGTAAAAAAGGCGTGTCTGGTAAATATTCCGAAACCAATTTATTTGGCTGGGTGACCTGTTCGGGGCGGGAATATTGTTGGTTTTTGAATTCCCAGACGGCTCGTTAAGAGTGCATTTTAAACCAGGAAGTGGAGTGGGGGATTAAAGGAGGTGCAGGGGAGTTGGAGATTAGCAGTGGAGGTAAAGTATTTCTGTGCTGTTCGTGCCCCTGAAGGGACTACTAGATCTGTTTATTGACATGCACATTTTAACCTCACATAAAAATGATAATTTATTGTTCTCCCTGGATTACTTTGAATGTAACATTTACGGTTTATTTTTGGCTTTTGAGGGGAGAACTCAAATGTACGTGAACCCACACTCCATTACTTTCCATAATATAATGAGATTGTTTGCACAATTTTTGGGGATTTGAGTTTGAATAAGTTATTTGTTTTATCAGCCATATTAGAGAATAGGAATTCACGTGAAGTGTAACAAGGGTGTTTCCCATCTGTTGATACACTGACATATGCTCAGAATGTACTCAAATCTACACATGGCTGCAAAGGTATACCGTTGCTGAAAAAACTAAGTTTGAATCCGTTTTGTATGGCATGGACTACCAAACTTTCGCAACATAAACGATGATTAAGAGAAAGAGCCGTGGAAAATGTAATTCTCTTTGTGTGTTCTCTTTGCACACCCTGTGTTCACACTCATGTAAAGTTTTGTGAGTGTGCTGTGCATTCAGCCACAATGTATATGATGTTCTTGTTTTTTAGAGGCATGTTTGTCTCTGTGAGGTCTTTAAGCTATTTACAGCATTGGCTCTGTCTATCCATTGTTGATGGAAATGGAAAGAATGTCTCACTGTGGTTGTTCTTCAGTGGAAATTCAATTCAGCACCTTTTTTTCTCATCACAGACATGTGCATTTGGGTCCAGCCCCTGAGGCATGTAGAACAGTGGTAACACTGCTTTCTTGCAAACACATATTCCTCCCTTCAGGGGTTGGTGGTGGTCTGTTTAGTTTAACAAGTGAGTTGGTGAGCAGGTCAATCATTCACCGTCCACCCACAGTGAAAGACCTCTAAATCATGACAGTTGTTCCCAATGTGCTCTGTTTTGTGCTGATTATCATCCGTTCACATCTGTCATTGTCTGTCTGTCTTTATTTAGCCCTCTCCCTGCCCTCAAATCCTCCAGCCAGCCTGCTGGTGAGGAGTTTCTCTGTTTAGTTTACAGAACTCTCCAACCCCCAGGCACTTTCTGACTCTCATACCTCTGTCCCTCTGTTCCTCCTTACCTCACTCCTTGGCCTCTGTGCAGGAGACATGAGGACGCAGCGCTGGGCTGTCAGGAATCTCTGGGCAAGCTGTTTGACATGGCCATACGACTCCCAATTACCTCACTTTCCTCTCGCTCCTGTCTTTTCCCATTTCCCCTCCTTCTCCCAGTTTGTCCTTTAGCTGTACATTCCTAAAGGGGAAACTCTGTAATACAGAAAAAGTTTGCCCAGTGATTTGAAATAAATATAAACAAATGGTAGTGCAATGTTATGTAATGCAGTTCTGCCGAGTGCCAAAGTTATTATTTGAGCTGTTCTGAAGTGCATCATCAATGATGTATCAAAGATACAAGGATCATCAGAGTATACGCAATTACCGGTAGTTAATTTTGGAGTTGCAGGATGATTAAGAACATTGAACAAGGAAGCTGCCATGAACACTGGCACTAGTCCATTGTGTTATGTGTGAAAGTGTGCACAGATGGGCAATATCCTTCAAAATACTGACTTCCTGTGCCCACTAAAGGATTACTACAAACTAAATATGGGCTTAATTTCTAAAACTCCATACATTCCATATAGAGCCAACTGGTATTACAACCAAGCTACACTTAAAAAGATTCTCCTAGCTTGGCCTGTGTAATCCATGTCGTGCAATGGAAAAACCTATAAGAAGCCCTGAATGCAAGGCAGTTATAGCTAGTATATCCATTAATTTTCTCAGTCTAGTTCCTTGACAGTCTGTCCTCAGTGGTGCAATAGAGAGTGCTGTTGTTTACTTACTTGGACACTCTGTTCCCATAGCTTACCCCAGTCATTCTAGTATGGGAACACGGATTTGATCACTGGGTTGCCAGATTTGAAGGATTTACTGTACTTGGACTGGAAGCCCTGTAGCTCACTGTGCTCAATGGTATGGCCGGATCCCCACAACCCTGTCTCTGCCTCTCCAGTCTGTGTTTCATTATCTTTATATTGGTCCGCCTATCTCTGTGTCTCTTGGACTGTATTTCAGTGTGTATCTCTCTGTCTTTCACAAATGTTCCTCAGTCATCCGTCGACCCTTTGTCCTTTAACTCCAAAGGTTTAGTTCAGTCAACATTTCTGTTGATCTTAGGAAGTGCACAGTGTCCTGTCATAAATTAGCTCACTAGAATACTTATTCACACATTATGAAGTAAGACGCCTAAAATAGAGCCTGGTGCCAGACGAGCAGTGCACGAAGGTTGGTTTGGCACTAATCGTGTTAGCAAATGAGCCGCTTCTGCTCCGTGCCAGCATCGTGTCTTGTTTCATAATAACGTCCTACTGCTTTCTATATCTTCTGTTTGAGAATAACAAAATTATTAATCTTCAGGAGGAGACAGCTAAGTACATTGCATACAATGTTTAGGGTAATTCCAATATTGCATGCGTGTTTTCAAATTTTAAGAAATGATTAAGTTATATTGCATCTATTTATGGCATTAGATTGAATGAAGGGAGCAACACGTGCGGCATATATTCAGTATGTGATGATAGTTATACTGCTATATTTGCATTGACTCTGTGCTTCTCCCATTCATGTTGTGAAACAAATAAATATACACATGTGCTGCACACACTTACTTTAGATCACATTTAAACATGTGGAATACATTTTTAGACGCCTACACACAGCCTTACATATTTGTTTTTGCTATAATGGTAACAGCTGTAGTTCATTTTTCTTTGTTAACTGTATTTTAAATGTGTTTTTTGCAAAGGGATATTACTTGTTGAGTTGTACTTAGTTTCCTTTTCTGTCTTTTTTATAGTCTGAATGTATTCTCTGAATCTGCTGATCTACAGTATCCCTGAAGGCATCATTAACATTTTGCTCTAAGGAAGATACTTATCAGTTATTCACCTCATCTCACTTTTCCTCACCTCCCTTTCTCTCTGGATGACTGCTACTCCAGGCGACTTCAAAGCTGTGACACCTACTCATCTCAAAAGTTTCACAGTATCAAGTTAACATTTAGATAATGAGCTGATGTTGTTATCTGCCTCCTTATAAGCGTGAATAAGAAATCATGCGTCCTGTGTTTCAATGTGCTGAAATTCATTACTCTTAGGTTCCCCTCACACTGCACATGTAGTACGCTTTGTATAAAAAGTAGGACTACTTGCTTTTTTCATTAACTCACTATGGACCGGACCAAGCAACAAAGATATCGTGGTGCAGTAAAGGACACCATCATTTCTCCCAATGCATCTTTGCGCCGTTCAAGCGGCTGAAAATACTCTAAAATATGATAATTGTGACTTCTAATGTGCTGCAGAATATCAATGTTGCATACACTCTTACTTATAGCCCCTCAGCAGCTGGAAAAAGTTGGTGAAGCATGAAGTCGCCAAACTATTACATTAGATATTTTCAAATCATTCCTAGTTAATGTATGCTTCCCACCCACAGTGTGAAAAATGCGAGTTATTCTCTTAAAATGTATATTAAACCCGCAGCAGTCATCCTCATCATCCTCAAAAGTCACTCCAAAGTTATATGGCAAACAACGGCTTATTTTCACATGAGAGAACAACATGCAGACGCAGAGCAACTTTAGCATT